CGGGTGCGTCCTGAAAGCGGCGGAGGGAGCTGCTTTCAGTCTCTCCTGACGAGGTTCGGGATGTCTCTTCCTCAGCCGCAGAACCGCGACCGGGGGCCCACACAGCTGCCGGGGCTGAGCTCAGGCCTCCCAAGCATCTTTTCAGTTTTTAAGATACTTGAATTTGCCCCATCCACCCGTCCGAAGTGGTTCATGCTGTACGCCAAGGGCACCGTGGCTGCAGTCAGAGTCTGCCGCCTCTGAAGTCTCCCCCTCAAAAGAACTTTACCTCAGCGGCAGATTTAAGCCTTCCTGAGAGGGCACACAGAAGGGAAAGGCACACAGCTTGAGTTACGTATTTTCCTAAAAGCATTTTAGTTGCCAGGAAAAAAAAGAAATGCTGAAGAGCCTGGACCTTCTGCCCTCACCTCTCCTGTTTTGAGAAAATTTGCCTACATAAACCCCCCATTCTTAAGGATCTCAGAGCCAGATTATCTGCTCAACCCATTATGCCTTCCCCATGAAGAAAACCATCATCAAGTTACTGGCTAGATACAGACTGGGTGTGAAACTCCCCAAAGGAGGAGGCAGCAAATAGTGCTGGGGAAGGGCAGCCATGCGGTATGCTGTACAATCAGCTGGATGAGCCCCAACCTGCCTCTTTGCAACCTCTGCATTATCACTTTACATGCAAAGATAAGGTTCCTGTTTCTGCTCTAATAATTTGCCTTTTACTTGAAGACTCTTGCAGCTCTCACATTGCATACAGTGCTGGCACATGGTAATTCTTAATCAAGTACCCCTAAGGAGTGTTTTCCCCTGCAAAACACTTTGTAACAAAAGTCAGTTTCAAGGTCCCCACAGCTCAAAAAATACTTTAAAAACCCTTATGGGGTAAAACATCATTGTCTGTAATTTAAAAGTAAGCATTTCTGTAACTAGAAGGTGACAGCTCGCAAGAGTCAGGAGGAATGGTGATTGTTCAGCACCTCCAAAGAGGGTAGTTTTATTTACACATAAATATTTGCATGTCTTAGCATTCAATCATGTAAACTCCCTTGAACATACATCCTTACAAAAACCCCTATGCAGAGATCTAACTGTTCTTGAGAATATGGGGTTAAAAATCTTTATAGGCTGAAAAATCATGAATCACTTGTCTTCAGATACCTGCTTCTCTTAAAGCACGCAACTATGAGTCATGACAGGGTGCTAACAGCAGAGCACAGCATCCAGTTTATAGGAAGCACCCAGAACA